TCAAATCTATTAATATTTGCTGATATATTTGGGTGCTCTGGTGTTGGGTGCATACATATTTACTATTGTTATCTCCTATTGTTGAAGTGACACCTTTATTATTATACAATGGCCTTTTTGCCTTTTTGTATAATTTTTGACTTAAAGTCTATTTTATATTATCTAAGCATAGCTACTCCTGTTCATGTTTGGTTTCCATTTGCATGGGATATCTTTTTCCATCCTTCACTTTCAATCTGTCTGTGTCTTTATAAGTGAAGTAAATTTCTTGTATGCAGCATATAGTTGGGTTCTGTTTTGAATTCATGCAACCACTGTATGTCTTTTAATTGGATAATTTAATTTACTTAATAACAGTGTTATTATTGACAGGTAAGGCCTTACTACTGCCATTTTGCTACTTGTTTTATAGTTGTTGTGTAACTTTTCTCTTCCTTTCTTACTGTTTTCCTTTGTGCGTAAGTGGTTTTCTCTGGTAGCATGTTTTAATTCATTGTTTTTAATTTTTAGGATATCGATTATAGTTTTTTATTCTGTGGTTTCCATTATGCTTATATAAAGCATCTTACAGCTATAGCAAGTTGTTTAAAACTGACACCAACTGAACTGATTGCACACAACACAAAGAAAAAAACAACCCTGTATACATTAACTTCCTTCTCTCCCCACATTTTGAATTTTTGAAGTCACAGTTTACTTTATAAAAAATATTGCCTATTTAAAATAGTTGTATTTTATATCTTCAGGATTTCTGTTTTATTTTAATTATTTCAATCTCTCTTAAAATTTCTTGATAAATATTGCCTATTTAAGATAGGCAATATTTTTATTTTTAGTAGTTTAAATGTTCTTTTTTTAAATAGTTTTGGCTTTTAGTCTTCTTACTAAAGATATAAATCATTTAAACACCACAGTTACAATATCAATTTAACAATCACCTTAGCATTCTATTCTTTGGGTTTGAAGAACTTCCATTAGCACTTCTTGTTGGACAGGTGTAGTAACAATATATTTCCTCAGCTTTCGTTTGTCAGTTAAAGCTTTTTCTTTCTCCTTCATTTCTGAAGGATAGCTTTGTTGGGTACAGTGTTCTTGTTTGGCATTTTCTTTAGCACTCTGGATATATTGTTTTACTCCCTCCTGGCCTGTAAAATTCCTGCTGAGAAGTCTGCTGCTGCCATGTGTATTGGATCTCCCTTACATTTTGTTTCTTTTCTCTTGCTGCATTTTGAATCCTCTCTTTGTTTTTTACCTTTTAGTGTTTATGTCTTGGGGTGTTCTTGTTTGTGTTAAATCTGATTGATGACCTTTAACCTTTCTGTGCCTGGATATTTATATCTTTCTTCAGGTTTGGAAAGTTCATGTTATTATTTATTTGAATAAGCTTCCCATCCCTTTGTCTTTTTCAGTTCCCTCTTTGACTCCAATAACCTGAATATGCTGTCTTTTAATGTTGTCTCATAGGTCCTGTAAGCTTTCTTTATTATTTTTCATTCTTTTTTCTCCTCGACTATATATTTTCAAATAATCTGTCTTTGAGCTCACTGCTTATTCTGTTTGATCACTTTTGCTGTGTATGCTCACTATTGAATTTTTCATTTCATTCATTGTATTTTATACCTTCAGGATTTATGTTTGATTTTAATTATTTCAATCTCTCTTAAAATTTCTATGATAAATTTCTAAATGGATTCTCTGTGTTTACTTAAAGTTCATTGGGCTTCCCTACAGCAGCTTTTTTGAATTCTTTGTCTGAGAGAACACATCTCCATCATTTTAGGGTTGGTCTCTGGTGCCTTATTTTCTCCATTTGTTGAGGTCATATTTCCCTGAATGTTCTTGATGCTTGTGGAAGTGTGACAATATCCATGCATTCAGGGATTAGGTATTTATTTCATTCTTCACAGACTGGCTTTGTTTGTGCCTGTCCTTTAGAGGGATTTCCAGGGATTCTAAGCTGACTTACTGTTGTTTTACCAGAGCCTGTGACCACTGCAGCTATCTCAGCGTTATAAGACACCTTAAGCCCAGGCTTACTGTGAACCTCTTGAAGACTTCAAGGTTGACACAGCTTTCTGATCCAGATGGACCTGGGAAAGACTCAAGAAGGGTACTGGGATTGTGTGAAAATGCTGAATGACTGACCCAGTGACCCAGATAGGCGTACCGCCTAGCAAGTCTCTGTACAGGTAGGCTGTGTCCCCAAGTGCAGCAAGAGTAGCTAGAGTTGAGACTGGGCCCTTTTGGGAACTGTTGTGAGAAGGAGGCTAGTGGGCCCATGTCAGTTCAGATAAGCATGCATCATCCAGCAGATTCCTGCACAAGTGGGCTAGTTTCTTGACTGCTGCAGGAAGGGCCAGAGCTGAGATTGGCCCCCCTCAAGATCTGCTGTGAAACAGGGTGGGGTGCTGGTATAGCTACCTGACTGTACCAGGAGGGTTTTGAGCTGAAATTGGGCCCCCTTGGGATTTTCAGTGAGACAGAGGATGAGGAGGTCAATTTCAGTGTAGAGGGGTGCATGCCACCCAGCAAGTTCCTGCACAGATAGGATAGTTCCTCAACTGCAGTGAGAGGGGCCAGAGCTGAGATTGGGGCCCCTCAGGATCTGCGGTGGGATAAAGGTTATAGAGCTCAGTCTTGTTGGCTTAGAGGGCACATGTCTCCCAGGAGGACCTTGCAAAAATGGGATGGTTCCTTGACTGCAGCAGAAGGGACTGGAACTGAGACTGGGCTCCCTTGGGGTCTCCTTTATGATGTAGGATGGAATACTCATCTTGTTGGCCCAGACAAGTACTCATTTCCCAGCAGATTCTCAGCACAGATGGGATAGTTTCTCACTGCAGTGAGAGGCACTGGAGCTGAGAGTGGACCCCCTTGGGATCTGCTGTGGGACAGAAGTTGGCAAACCCATCATGGAGGCTCAGAATTCTGGGTTACAAGAGATGAGTGAGTCTCACTTTGGGGTTCTTGTGTGAGTAGCTTTGAGCTGGGACCTCAGCTAAGGAAGGCTGAAGCAGAGCCACAGTGCACCTTTCAGGATCACTGCCAAGATCGATGTCAGCAGGCAGACAAGCCTTTCCACCACGGCACTGGTGTGCATGGTTCCTTCTGGAACCCTTGGTAGATGGTTTTGGTTGTAGGCTCAAAGCCAAATGAGGCTTTAAACAAACCCCTTCGAGGGCTAGGATATTACCGGGCTTGAATCTACAAGCAATCTCGGCAAATCAGCCACTTGGGTGTTGGTCTGCACTCTAAAAATGACTCACCTGGATCTTGGGCTCCACTGGGATTTGACAAGCTCCTACCTGAATCCTGAGGCTCCTGCAGAGAGACTTTTGACTTGGAATGGGTGCAGAATTGTTATTGTTCTGGGAGATATGAGTAGGTTATTTTCGAGTCTGCCATCATGGTAACATCAACCCTCAATATTTTTAAGTACCATCAAAATCAATCAGTTTATAACTGATCTTTCCTCTGTTTCCAGATTTGTATTTTCAACTACTTAATTGATATCTGTACTTTGATGTTCTATAGTTACCTCAAACTCAACTTATCCTAATAGAATTTGTCATTTTATCCAATTCTGTTATGTCTTATATGCTTTATATCACTGTAGGTTTTATCTAATCCAGAAACTAGGGGATTATTTTAGATTTCTTCACACCTCATGTTTAATCAGCCAGTAAGGCTAAAAGTTACCACGTTTCATTGCTTCTCTGAATCACTACAATAATACTTCATTTTTCCCTCCCACAATCCAGTTGCTTTAATCAAATTTATACTTTCTATCACATTTTCCCATATTTCATACTTTTTTTCAATGTAAATCCAAGCCTGTAATTTTCCTATTGAAATACTTTCCAATGGTCCCCCACTGTCTGCAAAATTTAGTTCAATACTTTAGTATTAACTTTTTGTTGATTTGACTTCTTTATTATCTGACCTCCCCCAATTTCTCCAGCTTTCACTCTTGACTTCCTCCTCCCTGTCATTAGATTTTAATATATTTATTTTAGCTGTGATCTCTCCCACATTTGTAATAAGCTAAAATCTTCTATTCAAAATGTCTTCCTACCTTTCTGCTTGGTAAACTACTAATCCCCTGCTCAGGGGTCTTTCATAAAGCTTTATTCCTCTTATTTCACATCTGAAGGATTATTTCTTCTGTCTTATTTCTACTTTTTTATACTCTGTTAATTTATATGTCATACATAGTCTTAATTTGGTAGCTGTTTGTTTCCTCCCCTAAAATAAAGTCTCCTTGTCATCAGGTACCTTATTAATTGCTGATACTCCAGAACTTAATATATTATTCATTGGCATACAGTAGACAATCTGAAAAAGAATGAGCTAAGCACTGAAATTCTTAGAATCAAGTAACCTCAGTTTACAGTGTTAGATAGCAATCAGCGAAACATCTTTCTGAAGTAATGTTCCATATTAGAAGAGAGGGTGAACGGAATTCAGAACAGATTTCTAGAAAATTCTCCTTATTGTGGAAAAACAGCCTGTCTGCTTCAAAAAGCAGTTGAACAGATGATCCAAACAATGATAAGAAGAAAGAACCAAGGGGAAAGAAAGATAAGAAAGATAGCAGATATGTTCAGGGCAGAAAGGAACTTTAAATAAGGAGAAGACAAGTCAAAGAGCAATGAAGGAAACATGAATTAGAGGCCTTTTGATTCATACTTTGTTAAAGTAGAAGCTAGTTAAAGTAGAAGAACTCAGACTGTAAAATGTGCTTTCTACTTGTATGGACGTAAGTATTTAAAGTTACCCTGTGAATTATATGGCATCGTGGCCCAAGTCTTTATAGCCTTCACTCTAGAGATAATAATGAATCTTTTTGACAGTCTCTTACAAAAGCTCTGTTATGGAGAGTTGACAGCTATTCAGAGTACCTAGATAACAAATTCATTCTGTAATAATCTCATATTTAAACAGGGAAAAGCTTTCCCCTTGCAGCCTAGAAAAATATGAGCAGAGACATTTTTGAATACTGAGGAGAAAAATTCACCTCGCTTGTATTTTATTTTGCACAAAGTCTGTAGGCTTCGTAACTGCTTTGTTATACAGGGATATCATTGGGACCCACGTCAGGCATCAGCAACAGCAAAATTCTCACATTTCTAGGGTTGTTAAAATGTGTTCTCAGCTTCCTCAGCAACAGATGTAAGATCACTTTGTCTTCGAAACTGGAAAAAAAAGCAACCTCTTACAAATCATATCATGTTTCTTAAAATTATACAACTAATAAGTAGGTCTTTTTCTTTAAAAATACAGGCAATACTGATATTTATAGAGAAAAATCTTAGTACCGTATTTCTGTCCCATTCCTATTTCAACCTTCTTTCTTCTTTTCTTTCCCTCCCTCTCTCTCTCTCTTTCTTTCTTGCTTTCTTTCTCTCTCTCTCTCTCTTTCTTTCTTTCCTTGTTTTTTTTTTTTTTTCCCCCAAGGTCTTGCTCTGTCGCCCAGGCTGGAGTGCAGTGGTGCAATCTCTGCTCATTGCAACCGCCTCTCTCTCAGGCTCAGACTCAAGCAATTCTCATGCCCCAGCCACCCAAGTAGTTATGATTACAGGCCTGTGCCACCCTGCCTAATTTTTTTTCTGTTTTTAGTAGAGATGGGGTTTCACCATGTTGACCAAGCTGGTCTTGAACTCCTGGCCTCAAGTGATCCTCCTGCCTCAGCCTCCCAAAGTGTTAGGATTACAGGGTGTGAGCCACCGTGCCCAGCCTTCAACCTACTTTCTCAATTTCTGTTGGATCACTTGTATCTTTTGGTATACTTTCAAACGTTTATAATAAAAGTGACCATAGTCTTCTTGAACATAAATCTTAATAGATGCCAGCACCCTATCCTCTCATGACATTTCTCAACTATTACCTATTCCTTTCCTTCAAGGTAGTGGTCATTTTGACTTTTAGATAAAGTCATCAATCCTGTCAATTTTTTTTTCTAGTTTCATCAACTAAGCTTGCATCCCTAAACACTATAAGTTAGCTTTAGTTTTACCTGGTTTCAAAGTTCATATGAATGGAGTTTTTAAAACTATGCATTCTTTTGAGTTTTTATACTCAACATTTTATTTGTGAGATCTAACCATGTTGTTAAGTGCAGGTATAGTTCCTTTTAATCAGCATGTCAAATTTCAATATAGTAATACACCTCAATTTATTCACCACTCACCCACCTGTGTTGTTTCCACTTTGGGGCCACTATGAATAATACTGCTGTCTATATATTCCTGGAAGTTTATCTGAATGCATAAGGGCAAACGTTTCTGTTGGTTATATACCAAAGACTGAGATTACTGATCATAGGGTATGCACAGTTTAATTTTTAGTAGGTAATGCCCAAAAGGTTTTAAAAATTGTTGCAATAACTTATATTTCAACCAGGAGTGTGAGAGATATTTCTTTTATCCATAATCTTTGCTATCTGTTGGCATCATCAATATTTTGAAATTCAGTCATTCCAGTAGGTATTTTAAAACATCTCATTGTCATTTTAATGTTGTTATTACAATGAATAGATTTATATCTGACATTTTGTTATTTCTTTTATATGTGTCTCATGTGTTTTATTTTCCTTTTTTTTTTTTTTTTTTTTTTTGTGAGATAGGGTTTTGCTCTGTCACCCAGGCTGGGGTACAGTGACATGAATACGGCTCATGGAAGCTTTGACCTCCTGGGTTCAAATGATCCTTCCACCTCAGCCGTTAAAGTAGCTGGGACCACAGGCATGTAGCACCATGCCTGGCTAATGTTTTTATTTTTATTTTTTTGTAGAGACGAGGTCTCGTCGTGTTGCCCAAGTTAGTCTTAAACTCCTAGGCTCAAATGGTCCTCCTGAGTTGGCCTCCCAAAATGCTGGGAATATGGCTGTTAACCAACCAAGCCTGGCCATTGTGTTCTTTATTTTTTAAAAATTAAACATACTTTGTATATGTTAATTCCCTTATTTTTAAGCTGTTATGTTTTTAGCTTTCTTAATCACTAAATAAGCACCCTAATTTATCACAGACTACTTCAGATGAATGCTAATTCAATTCCAGTAAAATACAGCAACTTTATTCCCATATAACTCATTCCCTTTCCTTTTCTTTGAGCTATTATTGTCATATATTCTATCTATATATATAATATAACTACCTATGGTGTTATAATTACTGCTTTTATGGTCTTATCTTTTTAAAATTTAAGATAAAAATGGAGAAACTATCTATTGAAGAAGGGTTGGCAAGCTATGATACATGGACCAAATCTAGCCCACTGCCCATTTTTGTAAATAAAGTTTTGCTGGAACAAGCCATATCCATTCCTTTATGTATTGTCTATGAATACTTTTGTGCTAAAAAGTGGAGCTGAGTAGTAATGACAGATGGAATTAATGTTACTAATAACACGACCTTAAATTAAGGTAATCATCCTGGATTACCTGGGTGAGCCCAATGAGATTAATGCAACTGTCTTTTAAATCAGTAAACAGAAGAAAGCACAAAAGATGTATTTATACATCTTTTGTTATTTCATAACCACCTACATAATTACTTTTACTGGTACTTTTTTATTTATTCATGTGCATTTGAGTTTCATCTGATGTCACTTCTTTTCAGTCTGAAGAACTTCCTTTAGTGTTTCTCATGAGGAATTTCTGCTAGCAACACGTTATTCATCTGTGTATGTCTCTATTTCACCTTCATTTTTGAGGGATAGTTTTAAAGGATAAAGAATTCCTGCCTGTTTTTCCCCATGTACTTTAATATCCCATCCATTGTTTTGGATGAGAACCCAGCTCTTAATATTATTGTGGTTCCCTTGTATATGAAGAGTCTTTTTTTGTTTTTTTTTTTCCCGCTGCTTTCAAGATTTTCCTTTTTATCAGTTTGACATGGAGGTGTCTAGGCGTGGATCTCTTTGTGTTTATTTTACTTGAAGATCCTTGAGCTTTTTGGATGTATTGAATATTTTCCATGAAATGAGGGGAATTTGGGGCCATTATTTCTTTAATTTGTTTCTGGTACTCCCCATTTTTATGGGACTCCCATTATACATGTGATGGTATTTCAGAGGATTTTGAGGTTCTGTTCAGTTTTCTTCATTTTCTTTTTTTTTCCTGTTCTTTGGACTGGGCAGTATCTTTTTTGCTATCTTTATGTCTGTTTATTTTGTCTTTTGTCAGCTCACCTCTGCTCTTGAGTTCCTCTAGTGGGTTTTGGGTTTTTCATTTCAGTTCTTGTATTTTTAAACCCTAGAACCTCCATTGGGTTTTTTTTTTATAATTTCTGTCTCTTTTATTGACTTTTATTTGATGAATCATTGTTGCCATCTTATAATTCTTCAAACATATTTACTAATTTTTGAAGCCTTTCTTTGTTAAGTCCAACATTTATCCTTCCCTTGCTCCAAAACACTATGTCTGTTAAGTGTTGTTTTGAACTCTATGGTTAACTATTTCCTATTATTTGCATATTTTTGTTGTTGAAAACTGGACATTTTAGATAATATATCATAGCAATTTTAGATTCTGATTGCCTCATTTCCCAGGAGCGGTGGCTATTGCTAACCACTAGTATCTTGGAATACTGGAAGTCCTAACTCCCAATACCTTGGAATATGACTGTATTTGGAGATAGGGTCTTTTAAGTGGCAATGAAGTTATAATAAGGTAATTAGAATAAGCCCTAATGCAATATGACTGGTATGCTTAGAAGAGCCTAGGACACAGACACATAAAGAGAAAAGACCATGTGAAGACACAGGAAGAAGACAGCCAAGTGAAAGCCAAGGAGAGAGGCCTCAGAAGAAACTAACCCTGCCAACACCTTGATGTTGAACTTCTAGCCTCTAGAATTGTAAGAAAATAAATTTGTTGTTTAAGCCACAGTTTGTGGTGCTTTGTTATAGAAGCTCTAGGAAAGTATTAGACACCTTGAGCCAGTAAAACTTCTACCTTTTCCTAATGAATCAGTGTAGCTTGAGCAGTATATTCAAAGTTGAGGCTGCCCCAGCTTTTACTTTATTTTTTCAAGACCTCTTGTTCAACCAAGGGCTCACTACGACCTTTTCCAGTCTCCTTAGTATGTGTATAGCTTTGCACGTATTTATATTCTTCCAGACTGCAGGGGAAAAGTAGGAAGTTATCAAGGTCCATTGTGGCTGTCCTGTTCTTCAGATTTCTCTGTTGAGTTTCTGGTAGGTTGCTAGTAAATTTTTTGCCCCAGCAAGTATTGTGATCATGGTCAGGCTAGGAATGACATTGGCCTTACCTGCTTGTTTGCCACTGGGATTATGGTTGTTTTAATAACCCTCTTGGTCATGGAACTTTCTGAGCTCTGTTCCAAATAAAACTAGTCATCTCAAGCAGTGAGGCTGCTGGGTCTCACAGTCTGACCCACCAAGGTAAACTTCTGCGTAATGGAATCTGAGGGTGGGGTGGTATATTAGTCTGTTTTCACACTGTTATAACAAACTTGTCAAGACTGGGTAATTTATAAAGGAAAGAAGTTTAATTGACTCACAGTTCCATATGGCTGGGGAGGCCTCAGGAAACCTACAATCATGGCATAAGGCAAAGGGAAGGCAAGGACCTTTTTCACATGGCAGCAGGGGAAAGAAGAGTGAGTGAATGAGGAACTAGCTAAACACTCATAAAACTACCAGATCTCATGAGAACTCACTCACTATCATGAGAATAGCATGGGGAAAACTGCCTCCATGATCTAATTTCCTCCCACCAGGTTCCTCCCTCAACACCTGGGGATTGCAATTCAAGATGAGATTTGGGTGGGGACACAAAGCCTAACCATATCAGGTGGGAAGAGTGGGAACAGTCACAAACTAACATGCCACAGACATCCACTGTTCTTACTGAGGTCGAGTAGATTTTCTTAAACACTTTGCAAGTTCTTGTATGCTTGGTCAACTTCCTGAATCTTTAGAAGGTTGTTTATTGATAATTTTGTTCAGTTTTATAATTTCATTTTTAGGGAGAGTTACCATGTTCCCAATCAGCCATTCTGGAAATGCAACTCATTCTCTCTCTTCAGAAATCCTTTTACCATATAGTCTTATAGTTGTTTCTATATTTAAATCAGTTGTTGATCACAGTAGTTTTCCTTGACCATCCTACGTAAAATAGTCTTGCCTTATCTCCTTACTTTGCTTTATTTTACTTCATAACATTTTTCAGTTCTTGACATTTTATATTTTTATGTGTTTGTTTATTGCCTTTCTCCCCTAAGGGAATGCAGACTCCCTAATGGAAAGGACACTGTTTTGTTGATCATTGCATCCTTAGTGCCTATGACAATGCTTAGCAAATAGCATGCTCTCCATAAATATTTGAGAAAGAATGAATGAATGTTAGATATGTAGTCTTTTAAGCTTGTGAGAAAATAATCATTCTCATAAACTTTTGTGAGTTGTTATAGCATTTTTGGATGTTGTTACACTTGATTCTGCAATTACATTTCTAGGAATCAACCACCTAAAGAAATAGTGGTCTTGTATGCAAAAATATTTATACTCAAGTGTTCACTGCATCATTGTTTATAATTTAGAAAAAACTGGAAACCAAGCTACATATACAGTAATTAGGGAGTGTTGAATACTAAGAAAAACAATGAAGGTAATAAAAGGCATTATTTGGATATGTTTTGTAATGGAAAGATATTTCTAATCATTGCAAAAAATGCATATGACAAAACAATGTGAATATAATACATACAATTAGTAAAAAAGAAAATGTGTGTGTATTGGTCTTTTTTTTGTATAGAATTGGATGTGTGGATATCATGAGAACTATATTAAGGAAACAATCACTTTTTACTCTATACACTTTTTACTTTTAAATTTAGCCTCATGTATTACTTTTATAATTTTATGTTTTCTATTTATAAAATAATATTAATAAAAAATAAAGGCAATATCACACATTCCGTTCATATTAGTTCTAAATATTTTGCATCATCTCCTCATTTGTATTTGTATTCATCTCCTCATAGAGTGTAGTTACTAGAAATCAACATCTTTTGATTTGCCAGTGAATGTAAACACTTACCAAATTGGAACAGCTACATACTGAGTATGTAAGTGCAACAGAAAATTCCAAAGGGTAGAAGAACAGTAAAATACGTGATACTTCCCTCCCAAGTTTCTATAACCAAAAAACAGGGAGAAATCTTATGTTATTATCTTTAGTGAGTGCAAACATGATCATGGAAGGAGCTACTGGTATTAGAGTCAAAAAAAAAAAAAAAAAAAAAAAAAAAGGAAGGAAAATAAGAACAGATAAACCTTTCACCATTTGAGTTCCTTAGACATTTCTACTCCTTTGCCCTCTGCTACACTTTCCCTAGCTTTCGGTTCCTCAGTTCAGCATCTGTGGTTTCTGTATTTGATCTCCATTGCTTAGCATTCTTGTCTCACTCTGACAGCTTTTACAGAATCGCTGGCACAGCTCTCTATCTAAACTCTTCAGTTACTAAGATTTGACTCTTCTGTCTCTAATGATAAGATGGCCACCAACAGATTTATCAAGCAATCCTTTTCTATTAAAACAGCTATTAGTAATGACAACCCTTTGTAAATTTACATACATGGTGATAAAACTCTCACATACATATTGCTCTAATATCATTTAAAATGAGTAATACATTCAAAAAGAGTTCAAAGAACATTTAACTTGGAAGCATAAGGTGATCGTGACTGCTGGGATCAATCTGGGATAAACAAATTCCCTTCTGTTGCTATCAGAAAGGTATTTTCAACCACAAATCTGATTGGTTAGTTATGTGAATAATATTGGTGCTCATCCTGAAAATGTGGGTTTTGTGCTGGCTGTGGAAAGACAAGAGTGATAACTCAGATCTAGAAAGAATGACATCATAATTATCTCCCCTTCAATTCCTTCTCTAACTCTTCCTCCTCCTTCTTTGTTGGGTTTATTTAACATCTTTTATATTCAACAAACTATCTGGTAGTAGGAATTAGATGATAGGAATGCAATGACACATAAAAACTTCCTGATTTCTTAGAGTTTATAATGAAGTAGAAGAGACAGAAAGATAATATAAGTTACCATATAAAATGGATAAAAACTTGCTCACTCATTATAGGGGACAGGAAGGACAGGAGGTTCACTCCAAGCTATTACTCTCTGGGAAGGCTTCATAAAGTGGTAGGAACTTTGAAATAAAGGTAGGACTGAGAAAAACAAAGAGAGGAAGCAGCATTCTAGGCAACTTTAAATTTTTATTTGCTTGTGTCCTCGTAACCTATCTTGTTTCAGAAAGAGTTTAATAGCATAAATTAAAAATGTGACAGAATAATTAAAAAATTCAGACATAAAATAGAACCAATAGTAAAGTTAAAATATATATCAGAACAACCTATGGTTTTTAATGTGAGAACAAAACTGAATGTAAGCAATATAACGTTTTGAGAATTATAGTGTTCATTCATATATGGTGTAAACAGGAAGACAAGGAAAAGATGTAGAAGGTTTGAAATACCAAGGTAAATAATTTTGATTTAATTTTGTTGGCAGAAATCCACAAACATAACCATAACATTTTATCTAGAAAGTACTTGGGACTTCTTAGCTGACAAGACTGTGAAAAGTCAGTTTGCCCATATTCCTTATTTTTTTATTTAATTTTTTTTGAGACTGAGTATTGCTCTGTCACCCAGGCTGCAATCTCAGCTCACTGCAACCTCTGCCTCCCGGGTTCAAGCGATTCTCGTGCCTCAGCCTCCTCAGTAGCTGGGATTACAGGCGCCCTCCGCCATGCCCAGCTAACTTTTGTATTTTTAGTAGAAACGGGGTTTTGCCTTGTTGTCCAGGCTGGTCTCAAACATCTGATCTGAAGTGATCCGCCTGCCTTGGCCTTCCAAAGTGCTGGGATTACAGGCGTGAGCCACCTCGCCCGGCCCATATTCCTTAATTTATGTGAGAGTTCTATTCTAAAACTCCCTCCCTGACTGAAAGCAGCAAAAGGTCAGCCAGATCAGCTCAAATGTGAAAACAACCTAGGAAACACACACACACACACACACACACACACACACACACACACACAGAGAGAGAGAGAGAGAGAGAGAAAGAGAATGAATAAGTCATGAGTCCCTGGCAGATGATGTAACCTGTAAGCTTCTGGACCCAGCTTAAGTCAGTAAGTGACCCTTTTTGCCTTAAATCAAGTTGGATTGTATTTCCTGTTACTTAAAACCAAGATAACCCTAATTAATATATACTTAAATGAAGAATAAGCAATATTTGGTAATTATAAAGACAGTAGAAAGACAGATGAGGTATTATGTCAAGGTTTTGTGTGTAGGAGATTGAAATGAGGGAGTCTTGCAGTGTATACCTTTGAGGAGGTAAGTAATTTCCATTTTCTATCTGTTGAGTTTGATATGATAGTGATAGCAGCATAGCCAAGTAGAAAAGTCTAGCTAGCTTTTAAAACAACAGGCCAGGAGTTTGGAAGAAAGAACACAGCAGTTAACTGGCAGGCATTTTCTTCATTTTACACAAAAGAAAACTTAGAAACAGGTCAGTTAAGAAACTTTTCCAGGGGTTTACACACAGTGAGTACTGAGGATAGTATTTAAATAAGTGAACTCTGATTCTGGAATCTATAGTATTAACCATTTTGCTACATGAGGAGTGTATTTCAGATTCATGCACTTTTCTGACGCTGCCTGGGAACACTGATAACTTGATGAGTTTGTAGATTTGGCCAAGACCCTTGCTTATGTTAGAAAAGTTGGCATGTAAAAGTCCTGTAAAATGTTGGCTGCCTTAGCAAGTGTAAGTATATAATTCTATAATGGCCCTAGAAAAAGATGGTGGTTTCGAGATATAAGTCTAATATACAAGTTCATTTTGTGTAACTAATCACAGCAAACTTGTGCTAAAACTTGTGATTTTGAGAGACTGTAAAACTGGTCGTTATTACTGAGTCCAGATCAGATAAATACAGACTACAGTGGTTTCTCACACTGACTGCAAAAGGCAATCCTTGGCAATTATGCCATATTAAACTGATAATTAAAAGTTTATGAATAAGAATGGTGACATATAACTTGAAACAATTATGTACTTAATAACTTAAGTACTCCTTCCTTATTCTCTGTCCTCAAAATTAGAACTAAAGATTTGTAGATTGAATGTTCAGGGCAACCGGACAATTTTCTTACAATTTATAGGGAAAATCTGGTCCATGTTTGTTTACATAATCACTCATTACAGATAATATATTTTGGAGAATTACTGCATTTTTCTCTTATTATCTCACTGTCCTCCAGGGTTTTGTTCTCCAGGTTTGGGTTCTTTCCTCTGACGTCCCCCTTAATAACATGTCACAGGTATGGAGAGAAAGTATGTAGGGGAGGAGGAGGAAGTTTATCCTTCACTTGCAAGGATGCTTCTACTCATTACTGAAATTGTTATTTGTTTTGTTCTGTTGGTCAAACAAGGTGTTTCACTACAATTTGTCCTTATTTTAAATGTGAGATTTTGTTAGCTTTGCTAAGGTCTTTTGCTGCACTAATATTCTATGATTCTGAATTTAAAGCCAATATAATTAAAATAAACCTATTGTGTTATCAGTAAAGATCTTCACAGTTACTGGAGAACTAAATGGAAACAAGTTACATTTATTTATATTTAGCATTTTTGGCCTTAAAGCAAAATTCATGTAAGATGCAAAGATAGGCTATGTATGAAAGCTCTATGTTAAGCCAGAAATTGCTAGATGTCTACAATTTGAACTGTATGTGTCAGTAGCAGAATTCTTTTGTTTATTTGCAAAATGGTTCTATGGTCCCAGATTATACTTTTCTTGTATTAAGAGAATCATTAAGTGACTCTGTGCCTGATACATAGACACTTGCCACTGAAGTTTTCAAATTTTTACTCACTTTAATTCAGCAAATCAAGAATTCATACATTCTCTTAATATTTACTAAAACTCACAGCCTAGAATTATTTTTGATTTAAAAATTTCAATCAAGAACTCACTACTAAATCAAAGAATTTCATGAGGACCAATAAAAGCCTCATCTTACCTCCTAAGATTTCAAAATTATTAAAAAGAATAATTTTAAAATTAATATGTTCCCATAGAATTGGTCACTTACTGCTTGTCCATAATTCCTGTATGACAGAGAATTGAAATGAGACAACTCTATTATTGTTAGAGTTACTGCAGTAATTGTAGTTATTATGCAGAAGATGTTTATGATTAAAGTACATATAATCTGAAAAGAGACAGAAGGTAAATTTATTATATTCAGAATAAACATTTTTGTGTAATAGTTTGCATTGCTGAAAAAAGTCATCTAGTTAAAACTTTGATGTAGTTTCTGAAGTCTTAGAAGTATTAAGTCTTAAGAAAACATTTTTCTAATTTATATAAAGCCCAGTTAATCTGGAGGAAACATTAACACCATCAGTCCATTAATCATTAATCTTCCATTTAGGCTAAAAAGTATTGTATTTTTCAATGTTATAAGTCATTTGGAAGAAAGCATATAAGATATGATTTGGACAAAAGTGGTTCACTGTAAGAAAAAAAAGAAAATGGAAAATGACTGTGGAAATAGGAGTCAGTTGATAAAATTTTAATCCTGGGTCTTCATTACCTATGGAAATCTATCAATATTTTCAGACATCAGTTTTTTATCTGTAAAATTATGAGGGCAGACTAATTTCTAAGGTGTGTTTAGCTCTCAGATTCTAAAGTGTTCTTCCCAGTATCTATCCACCTATACCATGCATGGATCTTTAATCTGGACCAATTTCCTACTTCATTACAAGATACAATCTTGTTCCCAAATTGGATAGTTCAGAAAATGAAGTTTTACAGTAGTATAATGTCTATATCTAAAGGCATTAGGTTCTATTAAATTTTTTAATTATAAAGTTTACACAATGTTAAAAGGTAGAACATCAAACAAAATAAAAACTATATATACATTTAGAAACCTATACATAATCATGATTTAACCAATACAGTGTATTTGTCTACATTAAATTATGTTCTTCTAGATTCATTCTTAATTTCTTTATTTATTTTACAGGTAGCATAGATTCCTTCATTATTTAGACATTATATTTTCATTAAAACTTAATATTTAGCTTTGTGATCAATGATTTCTAGAGATACCACAAACATTTCAACTTACTGCAGATCGAGTTGGATACTTTGTTACTGCTATTATGAAGACTCCTGCAAAGATAAACTGAATATAAAAACATATTTATAAATACTCATTGATAGTGCTTACCAATTTAGAATGTACTTTTAACAACTCTCTTCTAAGTCAATTATTTTGAGAATGCTAATAGTAACAAAACACACAGAAGTTTTAGTAGATGGGTCAGGACAAATTTACATCATGTAGTAATACATTGAAAGGTAATAGTAGAATCAGTCATAACAGAAACGCATAGGGGACAGTAGGCAGATTCACATTGTGATAATATGCCAGACAGCCTAAGCAGTCCTGAACCGGGAACCAAGTTTGCTTTTATGTGTGTGAGATACATCATATATAAGTCATTTGATTATTGCTTTTAATGTTATCCTTCCTAATGAGATGATGCCACTAATTATGATTAATATGTACATATCCAAATATGGAAAAAGTGGTTCAAGAATCTATTCCACATTGTGATGGTACAAAATGTGCAGTCTCTTATGAGGTTTGTAGTCATTATTAAGGTAATGGCAGAAATTCATGCCTTTGCCTTTGTTTTTTAAAACAGAGGTTCCATTATTTCATGTCAGGAAGTCTATCTACTTCCAAGAAGTATAAAACTATGCCATATTGTTTGAAGATGGGTTGCACAATTTCCTCAAAGTATTCCTTGTCTTATTTGTTTTAGTGATAAAACACTAAAGAGGCAAGTCAAAGGCTATTTTTGTCATGCTATACACTATATGTAGGAAACCCAAACCTGAAGCTTACAAACTTCCCATGGATAATTTTAAATCTATATGTTCAGTACTTCATTCCACAAAAAAGCTGAGATTTCTAAGGAGGTACACAGTGAAGGTAAGAACTAGCTCAGAATTTAATGTGAAAATATCTTGTGAATTTTGAATTAGAGTGCTCTCTAATGAGATTATCTTTAGATTACCATGTGTTTTACAAAATGCCTTTCAAAGGCATTTTAGGCTTAAGTGAGAAGTTTAGTATTAAATTACATTTAGTTGAAATTTTAGATAAGTTATCCTAGGAGTTATATATACTATTTTTATAATGTGAGTGGCTAAACACTAAGGAAAATGTATCATTTATTTGGATTTTATTGGAAAATCCACAGTTTTTCTCCTATTTTTTCCCAAGGCAGTGCTTTGACACATGTGACCCAGTACATCATTTATCATTTATCACCTATGAACCAGTGCATTATTTATGAGCCATGCATCCTTTATGAACCATGTATCATTTATCTGGATTTTGTGTGAAAATTCAGTATTTTTCTCCTGTTTTTCAAGGCAATCCGTTGACACTTATGAGCTAGTGTATGTATAAAAGTGGGAGACCTCCTAGAGATCATTGTTTCTTCTAGTGATTACTTGCTGTCTCAATGGGCAGCCATATTGTATCCTACAGCCCTCATTCCATCTGTTTGAAGTGTGGGTTAAGTGGTTTCCTTGCTCATTATTGCTATCCAACCATTCTTTCTCCTCCACTTTTCAGTCACATGTCAGATTCTATAACTCACTGTTCTTCATGGTTGAAGTAATCTATTGACCCCTTAGCCACTCTTCTTTCAGAATGAATTGACATTTTGACATGCTGATTCTCTCTCCAGCATCACTTAATATTTGGTGATATTTTTACACACACATACATATATATATGTGTATATATACATATCTATCTATCTATCTGATCTTTTGATACGGTTTGGCTCTGTGTCCCCACCCAAATCTTATGTTGTAGCTTCCATAATTCCCATGTGTTGTGGGCGGGACCCAGTGGGAGACAGTTGAATCATGGGAGTAGGTCCTTCCCATGCTGTTCTTGCCATAGTGAATAAGTCTTATGAGATCTGATAGTTTTAAAAATGGCAGTTTCCCTGCACAAGCCCTCTCTCTTTGCCTGCTGCCATCCACATAAGATGTGACTTGCTCCTTCTTGCCTTCTGCCACAATTGTGGGGCCTTCCCAGCCATGAGAAACTGTAAGTTCAACAAACCTTTATCTTTTGTAAATTGCCCAGTCTCAGGTATGTCTTTATCAGCAGCGTGAAAATGGACGAATACAGTAAATTGGTACCAGGAGTGGGGTGCTGCTGAAAAGATACCTGAAAATGTGAAAGTGACTTTAGGACTGCGTAACAGGCAGATGTTGAAACAGTTTGGAGGACTTAGAAGAAGACAGGAAATTGTGGGAAAGTTCATAACTCCCTAGAGACTTACCAAATGGCTTTAACCAAAATGCTGATAATGATATGAAAAATGAAATCAAGGCTGAGGCTCAGATGGAAGACGAGGAACTTGTTGGGAATTAGAGCAAAGGTGACTCTTGTTATGTTTTAGCGAAGAGACTGGTGGCATTTTTCCCTAGAGATTTGTGGAACTTTGAACCTTGAGAGATGATTTAGGGTATCTGGTAGAAGAAATTTCTAAGCAGCAAAGCATTCAAGAGGTGACTTGGGTGCTGTTAAAGGCATTCAGTTTTATAAGGGAAGCAGAGCATAAAAGTTCAAAAAATTTGCAGCCTGACAATGTGATAGAAAAGAAAAACCCAATTTCTGAGGAGAAATTTAAGCTAGCTGCAGAAATTTGCATAAGTAATGAGGAACTGAGTGTTAATTCTCTTTTTTTTTTTTTTTTTTTTTAGACGGAGTCTTGCTCTGTAGCCCGGGCTGGAGTGCAGTGGCCGGATCTCAGCTCACTGCAAGCTCCGCCTCCCGGGTTTATGCCATTCTCCTGCCTCAGCCTCTGGAGTAGCTGGGACTACAGGCGCCCGCCACCTCGCCCGGCTAGTTTTTTGTATTTTTAGTAGAGACGGGGTTTCACCGTGTTCGCCAGGATGGTCTCAATCTCCTGACCTCGTGATCCGCCCGTCTCGGCCTCCCAAAGTGCTGGGATTACAGGCTTGAGCCACCGCGCCCGGCCTGAGTGTTAATTCTCAAGACAATGGGGAAAATGTCTCCAGGGCATGTCCGAGGTCTTCATGGAAGCCCCTCCCATCACATGCCCTGAAGCCTAGGAAGAAAAAGTGGTTTTATGGGCCAAGCCAAGGGCCCCCGTGCTATGTGCAGCCTAGGGACTTGGTGCCCTGCATCCCAGCTGCTTCATCTGTGGCTGAAAGGTGCCAATGTAGAGCTTGGGCCATGGCTTCAGAGGGTGCAAGCCCCAAGCCTGGGCAGTTTCCATGTGGTGTTGAGCCTGTGGTACACAGAAGTCAAGAATTGAGGTTTTGGAACCTCTGCCTGGATTTCAGATGATATATGGAACTGCCTAGATGCCCAGGCAGAAGTTTGCTGCAGGGGCAGGGCCCTCATGGAGAACCTCTGCCAGGGCAGTGCAGAAGGGAAATGCAGGGTTGGAGCTGCCACACAGAGTCCCTACTGAGGCACTGCCTAGTGGAGCTGTGAGAAGAAGGTCACCATCCTCCAGACCCCAGAATGGTAGATCCTCTGACAGCTTGCACTGTGTGCCTGGAAAAGCTGCAGACAATGTCAGCCTGTGAAAACAGCCAGAAGCAGGGCTACACCCTGCAAAGCCACAGGGGCAGAGCAGCCCAAGGCCATGGGAGCCCACCTCTTGCATCAGCATAACCTGTATGTGAGACATGGAGTCAAAGGAGATCATTTTTGAACTTTAAGATTTTGACTGCCCCACTGGATTTTAGACTTGGATGGGGCCTATAGCCTTTGTTTCAACCAATTTCTCCCATTTGGAACAGCTGTATTTACTCAAGCCTGTACCCCCATTGTATCTAGGAAATAACTAACTTGCTATTGATTTTACAGGCTCATAGGTGGAGGGGACCTTGCCTTGTCTCAGATGAGGCTTTGGACTGTGGACTTTTGAGTTAATGCTGAAATGAGTTAAGGCTCTGGGGGACAGTTGGGAAGGCATGATTGGTTTTGAAATGTGAAGACATGAAATTTAGAAGGGGCCAGGGGCAGAAAAACTCCCATTTTTTAAAACCATTAGATCTTGTGAGACTTATTCACTATCATGAGAACAGCACAGGAATGACTTGCCCTCCCTGCCCCCCGCCATGATTCAGTTGTCTTCCACCAGGTCCCTCCCACAACACTTGGGAATTTTGGGAGCTATAAGATGAGATTTGGGTGGGGATGCACAGCCAAACCATATCATCTTTCTAGTCCCTTGGGCTTGGGATTCTTGTTCTCTCCTCCAATCCCTGACTCCAAACTATCTTAGTCACTCACTCCCATAATCATTCTCTTGTCTTTGCTGTACCTTTCAAATCTTAATTTCAAGTATTCCACTGGATCACCACCTGCTATCTTTCTAGCTCATGCCCTCTAGTACTAAAATTTTAACAACCCTTTGACCCCCCCGGGTCCATAATCTGAGAACTTCAACTCTCTGTTAAATTCTTCTTTCCATCACTAACTTAAATTTCATGGCCAACCATTACAAACACTGCCCTATATCCACTTGCAACTGTTTCACACCTTTCTTGTTTTATTATAGTTGCACAACTAAACAAAAATCCTGATTGTTTTTATCCTGTTGCATGCTCGCACTCATGCAGCTGACCATGGCCTGAGAAAGGCATACAACCCATATTCATATCCTGTTCCTAAACCTCAAGTGTGTCCTTAATGCTATATGAAAAGAAAACCACCTCTCCATAATCTGTGCACTCTCACTTTTCCTCGATGATTATTTCATATTCTCTCGCCTTTCCTCAAACAACCAAACCACTTCCCCATCCTCAGTCTCAGCTCATAAAATCTTGCTTAATTCATTGAGCTATTTGAAGTTACTGGGGGAAAAAAAAAAACTTCCACAGGCTTCCAACATCCTATCAAAGCAAATTCTCCTTTCGCTCGCTTTCTCTGCCTTTCCCTCCTGTTTTTGTACTTTGAAACCATTTATAATTAGGCTGGATAATTCTTTGTTGTGAGGAGCTGTCCTGTGAATCACAGGCTATTTAGCAGCATCTTTTGCCCCTGCCCACCTGATGTACACCTCCAGCTGTGAAAATCCAAAATATCTCCAGATATTATAAAATGTTCTCAGGGGCAAAATCGCCTCTAGTTGAGAATCACTGCCCTAGATAAACTTTCTATGCTCCTAGCCATTTGTGCATCAAAATCCATCACCTCTTGCCTACATAAATACTTGATTCCAATACCCACCCCCATTTACTCATCATCAATTTTCTTTCTTTTGGTTCAGTCCTCTCAACAAAGAATATGATGCTATTTCTTTCAACTCACAGAAACTAATAAGCAAACCCTCTCTGGAGCCAAATTTCCCCAGCTATCACCCCATTTCTTTATACCACATTAAAGTCCTTAAAGAAGCTGTTTGCTGTCTGTAATTCCTCTCTTCCTATTTTTTTTCTTAAATCAACTCCAACCAGGTTTTTGCTTCGTAATTCCACTGAAACTACTTGTAAAATTTACTAGTGCACAGATCATACTGACTTCCATATTGCTAAATCCAATGGTCAATTCGTAGTCCTTATTTTATTTGACAAAACAACAAAATATAATATAGTTGATCCTTCCTCATTTCTTCTAACAATTTCTTCACTTGGCTTCCAGGATGCTATACTCTCTAGGTTTTCCCCTACCTAATGGCTATCTAGAAACCACAGAAAAGTGTCAGTAATGAAAAAATTTAGAAAATGAGTACTGACTCATTGGGTGAGGAGACTGAAGTGAAGACAATAAACATGCAAGTTAATCATGCTAATGGATATTATAGTTGAGATTCTTTGCCTTTCACATATCTAGGGACGAACTGCCCTATGGCTGTCACTGTGTACTCCTGTTTCCATATCTCTTGAAACAGCACTTGTAAATTAAAGGTACTCAATATATATTTGTTGAAAAAAGGAATCTGACTTTGAATAAATTATCAACATGAGATTTAGTTACATAATGCTCCTGAAAACCTTGTTCAGAAACCATTCCCTACCTTATATTATTGGCATGAATATTATTTATTGTATGATTAAAGCAATATATATGTATTCTACTCACAAAAATTCCCCACAAAGTACATCCTGTTTTGTAAGTTATAGGTTCATATATTCCAAAGGCTCCTTTAATTTGCCCCTTATACAAAACCAATAGGAAGTACCACATGAAAACATGAAAGATGCCAATCATAATCTGGATAGCCTGTGAGAAGAGAATGCTGTTAGTACCTAAATAATGTAATTTAAAACACAATTCCAATAAGTGTTAACTATAAGAAGCATTTAACACCTTTACAAATACAAAAGTAAAACAGCAATGCATTTAATAATGTATTTCCTGGATTGGTTATCCCAGAAAAAAGGATCAATCAGGAAGGACTGAGATGTACCAAATAGGAATCAGTCATACTGAAAACAACAGGCTGTTCAATAATAGTAGCTCTGGCCAATTCTCCTGTAAGTTAACAGTTTGATTCTATCACTGGCTAGTCTCCCTACCTATCAAGTAATGGTATAAGAGGAGAATATTGGGATTACTTCAGAGAAAATGTGGTTACTAATCTACTATAATGCAGGAAGCCATAAATCCAACATTTTCCTGTACATTAGTAATTTATTAAAGATGAATCACTTTTTTTTTTTTTTTTTTTTTTTTTTTGAGACGGAGTCTTGCTCTGCCGCCCAGGCTGGAGTGAGTGGCGCGATCTCAGCTCACTGCAAGCTCCGCCCCCCGGGTTCCCGCCATTCTCCTGTCTCAGCCTCCGAGTAGCTGGGACTACAGGCGCCCGCCACCTCGCCCGGCTAATTTTTTGTATTTTTAGTAGAGACGGGGTTTCACCGTGTTAGCCAGGATGGTCTCGATCTTCTGACCTCGTGATCCGCCCGTCTCGGCCTCCCAAAGTGCTGGGATTACAGGCTTGAGCCACCGCACCCGGCCAAGATGAATCACTTTTTGACTTTTATAAAGGTTTGATTTATCTTTTCCTTCAAGGAGTACTTGGTATGATTTTTTTTCACAAGTACGCTGGGGTGAGGCATAATCCAACACAACAATACAGAAAATATCCAGAATGGACTTGCTTGAACTCTGTTTTCCCATTGGAGAGGGGAAGGAGTTTGAATAGGGGAGAATTATTACTCAACTCTAATTTGTAAGAAGATAATTATAAGCCCAGCAAATTTATTTCTGGATTTATATGTGAACTGGTATTTCATATATTTAATCACATTTTTTTACTACTCTTTAAAAATGACAGAGGACACATAAATTTTATTTTCATGTAAACTTTAACAGAAAGCTATTCAATGTTTTAAGAGTTCCAGCTCTTTGCAAAACAGGCAGTCTATGAAATATGTAAATGCAATTGGCTAACTTTAAAAAATACATTTTGGAGAAGTTTTTTTTTTAAGGAAAGGTCTCTTTTTTGGTAATGATCATGCATTGTTATAGATTTAGAATTTAAGATTTCCCCTTGCATCTAATTTGCAAGAATGGTAATATTTCCAGAAATTCTTTGGATTTGCTTGGAGAAATATCCCCCACTAGGCTGCAAAATCTCACAGGGTCTGGAGTTTGTTTTTCTTATTGCTTTATCACCAGCCTCTAATATGGTGACCAGAATAGAGAAGGCATCCAGCAAATACCTCTTATATAAGCATACTGGTGTCAAGAATAATGATTCCATGTGGCTTTCCTAACTGTTAAAAAAGTAAGTGGGCTTGAAAAATACTCTCTTTTTAAACGATTGACTATTGTTTTATATAAGACTATGAAATATCTAATTAGCCAAAGCTTGTTAAGAACTGCCAGTGTGTGGAGAAGGACAAGATCGGTTTTCTTATTTAAAAATGATTCTTAATCTAGAGCCAATATGAGTTCCAGGAGGTCAGACCCGCCTACCCCCTGCCCCCAGAAAAAAAATGCAAAGGATTACGACATGTACATAATTCTGGGAAGAAGATTTAGAACTTTCATTCCATGCCAAAATGGTCTGTGACCCCAAAGAGGTTAAGAACCTCTGCTGCACAGTCGAATAGGTGACTTAGATAATTGATCTATGCAACGTTCAAATTCAGAAGAAAAGTTCACATGAGTGGAAAAGTTTTCTCCCCTTTGGATGTGAAAAAGCATGATGCTCATAATTCCTTGATGTTTATTAAGAAAGCTAAGCTGTAACTTCACATGTTTATAACTTAATAGAAGAGACAAATTTATAATCATCCTACTGCATAGATGTAAGTACAGTACTCTCTTTTTTCCTTTTAAACCTTACTTGGATTTCTCTGTTATCCTGTGTGTACCGGTTTAGTCTGTATATTTACATCTCAGCACATGAAAGAACATGAGATCAGTCAAAATTTGTAGAAGACAATCAACATTTGAAAAACATAAACTTTTACCCTTTTGATTTAACCAAGTCTGTCCCTCTTCAGATCCAATATATCCTTTAAAAATATGAAATAGTTCATGATCTTAAATTTAGTTAGTCAAAGTGAAATCTTACCCCTAAAACGAGAGAATTTGCTGTAGAGATTTTTGAATGAACACATGCCATACTGCCAGCATTTCCTCTAGATGGTTTTCTCTGTAACCTTTGGTGATATCTTTAGCAAACTTCTACAAAACAATACAAGGCACATATACATGATTTTCTTAGAAGAAAATACTTAAGTTTGATCCTTTCCTTATTGTTCAGCCACCACCTCCCCAAATTCAGAAGCAATAGCCTTCTTCTTTCTAGGCCTTAATATTAGAGGCATCAACTTTCATCCACCTGTTCTGAATAACAGCCTTCATAACTGAAAAGTCTCTCTCTGTGACTAAAACATATCGGCATTTTACAGATATCATCTCTGAGTAGTAAATAGTGCCTACTGTTTACAGAGTAAACAGTAACAGAAATGATAAGGTATAAAGGATATCTAGGGAATAGTATTAGAGAATTTTCAGTAAAACTTTCAACAATTTATTTGCAATTCGTAATCAATTCAATGCAATCCGTAGTGCCATGTTTGCATTTTCAAAACCAAGTTCTTATACTTAAATTCATCAAAAAGTGGGCTTGTGATTATTTTTTCTGACACATACCTGCTACTCAGTTATTTCTATATGAAAAGAATCTTTTATTCTATCAGACAACGTACCGAAGTTGCTCCCACAATATTAATGTTAATGCATTTCCTGGTCTTTTTTTTCCCTGTTATTCCTGCTTTTCTCTCTGTTGTTCAGATCATCTCCACATTTATATTAAGATAAAACCTGGCTATTAATTATATCCCCTTGTGGATTGTATGTATTTTTAGATCTGGAATTCTACATCTGCTAGTATGTCATGCTTACATAGGTCAATAGCTTGAGTCATGCCACCTCACTAACATGATCTTAAAATTTGAGACTTGATCTTTTCAGGAGGGAATTTGACCAAGTGACTTCTCATTCTCTGTACTTGTAAAATCTCATGACTTAATTATTTTAATAGGTTTTTGTTTTCTAAAATTGTTTTCTCAATGTCTCTTAATGCTATAAAGTGTAGAGACAGAAAAAACTAGTTAAGAATACAAGTTAGTAATAGCAACAGAGAGAAAACAATATGTTACTAACTGAAGTAAGCTTTATACATTCAAACACAATCTTTGAGAAATAAAGAAAGTGTTTAGAAGCATAATCAAAATTAATCACTCTGCTATGATTAAATAAAAAACCATAAAATTACAGAATCCATATAGAATAATAAGGAACAGCATATCTATATTGCTATTATTTGTCACTTTACAGAAAACAAGAAAATAAAAATAGGCCCTTTTATGTATATAATTGGCCCTCTGTTTCATCTGATTCAACCAGTAGTGGATCAAAAATATTCAAAAAACATGCCAGTAAAAATACAAATGCAACCGTCAATGTGGTGTAACAACTATTTACATAGCATTTGCACTGTATTAGATATTATAAGTAATCTAGAGATGATTTAAAGTATAGGCGATTTGCATGTTACATGCAAATCCCACACGCCTTTGTATTAGGGACTTAAGCACTCTTTGATGTTGGTATACGCCCAGCAGATACGGAGGGATGACTGTATAGAAAATTCTTTTCACTTTCGTAGTTAACAGTGGAAGCACCATGAAGTGACTTGGGGAGCAGAATATCTGGCATCTCTGTAATCTCCATCAGACCCCTACCCAAACCACCCTAGGTTTGGTATTCCTAAAAAATGCCAATCAGAAAAAGAAAGTGGGGGTGCTCAAAATTCTCAGGTTAATTGATGGAAGGAAGAAACTAAGAAATACTACAACATATTCCTGCAATAACTGATGGTTGGAATTCTTTTCTTTTTTTAAAATCAGTCTGTGTTTGAGTACTTTAAACCCAGTTAAGCATCCCATTATTTGTAAAAACAAATGAATAAAAGGAATCATTTATTTGTTTTTATTTTTTGGTGATCCTGTCACTAATCCAAAAGCAGCTGAAGAATGAGTACCCTAACCCTTAATCCCAATCCCGTTCTTATCCCCTGAACTTGCTTTATATAGAAATTCTGAAATAGTCGCAGAAAGCTCTTATCTAGAAAATGCTTCTCTATCTTTGGCATCTTTAGTAGGGATGCAACCCCTCGGCGCCTTCAGAATTAAGTCCAAATTCTTTAACAGGGCACGTAAAGCCCTTCATGAACAGCTCCCCGCTCAGCTTCTTAACCTCATCCTGACCACTTCTCTGTTTCCACATGAACAGCTCCCGCAGTAACCTTGTTTGGGAAGCCTACTCTGTCTCACAAGCCTGTTAGATGCCCCACTCCTTGTTCCCTCAACATTCTGAGCATAGTTCCTACCACAGTGTGTTCTTTCGATTTTCAGGACTGGCTCCTAAGTCAATGGGAGCTCCCAGAAGTCAAGGAATTCATTTCTGTATGACCAAGGACAGTCCTGGGCTAGAACCCAGAGACTCAATACTGGATCAAATAAAGAATGGGGCGCGGGGTAGGGGGCGGGGTGCGTTAAGATCCAGACTCTGATGAGGGAGGGAGGCAGATGATAAGAGAACAGGGAAGCTGTGGGGAGAGGAGCACCGTAATCAGCCTCCGTGTCCCTTTATGGCTTTTGACACGAAATCACTCCAGCAAAGCGACATCACTACCCTGCATTTTACTTATTCAAGGTTCCGAGAAGTTTCGGGGGGCGCTCGTCCAGGACCCAGACCAGGTTCTCACGCCAGCGCCCGGGCCTAGATGAAGAGGAAGATCCTGGTTGGCAACGCGCTCAGCGCCAGGTCCCCAGATCTCGCTGAGCTACCATCACAGGGATAGCCTGGAGCCCAGCACCCAGCCGACCCTCAGGCTCCTCAGGGAGTGAAGGTCTCCAATGGCAACGGCAACGGTGTGCTCCTCCTGCGCCTGCGCACCCACTCGGGAACGGCAGGGGCGGAGGGAGTGCGTGTGCGCAGACTCACTAGGCCCCTGGCAGCCACGTGGTCAGACAACCGGTCAAGTACATTTTGGTGTCTCTAGGAATGGTTTCTGCAAACCTCTGTTCTGAGATTGCCCATGTTGGTGCGTTTCTTATAGACACACCTGCTGCACAGTGACCAGGATCACCGGGGAAAAGTCCGCCCTTCACCTTTTCTGTCCAAAGAAAAATTTTGACCACAAGTGCACTTTGAAGGGTGCACTTTCGAGCGAAGTGGCTGAATCTATGGCTCACTTTTTTTTTTTTCTTTAAACATAAATAACTGAAGAAGGAAATTAGTGACAAGAGTAATACTTAACAAGACACCGGAAGGACTTTTTGATCCACTTGCTGAGGTGGGTTTACCTTTTGGGTGATACGTGGTGCCAGTTTTCTATCTGAGGTGTAGTTAAACAGTGTTAAAACTGTGTTTATGAAGAGGTCCTTTAGATGAGGAGTACTGACCATCCTCTTAGGCAGCTATCATGACTTACTGAGGCATTTAAAGTACCTGGAGAACAGCTACTCAATGCCATTTCTCATTTATTCATGAAAGATTTAAATTGACATTGTGGAAAAGTTAAAATTTCAGCTTGTAATGTAAATTTTTAGTCAATGATAGCCAGTGAGTAAAACATGCAGAAAACAAGACAGATTTTTCTTTCATAAGGAAATTTTCTGTGCTTCCAACATCTTTATTTGCAAAAAGCTAAATCATGAGTGTGTCTAAAAGCCATCATGATCTTTTATAGCCTGAAAAATCAACTGTAAGCTGAGAAACTTTATTTTTAGTCTCACAGCTAGCTTCCTTACATTGAGACTCCAAAGTCCCCTCAAATCAAAGCAAAAAAAAGAAACAACCAGGCTCTTTTAAAGTCTTTACATTTTGTATTGGTCAGTATGTCGTTGAAGGTAATAGTTTTATTCTTAAGTAATATACCACTTGATTTTCTGGCATTATTATTTTTTTGTGAGTTTCTTCTCTATGAGCAGAGAGGGCTCTGATAATATTAAACATTCTCTTTGCTGTAGAAAGAGGAACTGCGTCTTCAAGCCCAGGGTTATGGATTTTTTAGAATCCATAGTAGAAAGAGCCAGTTCTGATGAGATGGACCCCCGTTGTAACTTGCTGCCGTTATTTGTGAGAGAAGTGATATATTTCTTCATTTAAGATTTGGCCAATAGTCTCTGGAAATTATCATGGATTTGATCAGTGTTTTGGACTGGGAACAAAATGTGCATTCAGTGTACACAGAGGCAAAAATAGAAGAACGAGCCAAACTATGAGACAGGCATAGTTCCTCGGCACATCTTATTTCTTCTGCTACTATCACAGATCAGTAAAAGCAACATTGATCTTCTCAGTACCTATAGACTGGATTTGGAAATTCAGAATTCACTTTAATTTTTTATCTTTTGGTTGTTAAAAACTGTATTCTTCAGCAATGAAGAGGCAATCAATCAGTCATGGTTTGACATCCACTATGACTTTTATTTCTCCATGTATATCATGTTGTTAATTTCTCTTGAATTGGTTCCCAATATACAAAAGACATTAGTGAAAATGTGCTGGAACCACAATACCTATATAATGTTAAAACCATTGTTGGGGATTATTACAAGGACCCTGTTGGCTGTGAGCCCTGATAAAATAACATGTCCAGATTTCTTTGAGGAATTTTATTTATTTATACTCTAGAGAAAACAGATGTTTTCTCTAGAGTAAACACTAGGGTGTTCTAGTCAAGTAAAATGGAAATCTATGCAAAGTGGGGAAACTAAACAATTGAATTTATTGTAGAAATGCAATATCCATACATATGTATATTTATGTAAAGTATAATCTATATGTATATAGGTATATATATGCAGGTACACATACATGTATATAGTAGATTTCAGTTTTCATATGTTTACTATATCACTTATATAATAGTCTTTAGTAAAATGCTAATTAATAGCTTAAACTTATCTTGCTTTTTTTCCCTTGCATTTACTATGTTGAGGCAATATGTTAAGTGCCTTATATTGCTTATTTTAATTAAACTTCACCACATGCCAATGAGGTACCATTGTTATGTTCGTTTTAACAGATGAGTATGCTAAGGTTTGGCAAAGTAAAGAGTAGCACAGCTTATAAATGTTCGAGTTGAGATTCTAACTCCAGCAGTGTAAGTCTAGTTCCAGAATTTGTAGCCCATCCTCCTACCCACTTTTCTTGCTCTAAGCCTCCTTCAGAAAGAGCTCTGTGTTATAACTGTCATGGAACTGCATAAAGAATATTGTTGAAGAAATCATAAGGTCTAGGGATAGTTTCCAGCTCCAGTTCTGGCTGTGTGTACTCCCCTCCCCTACTCTTTGAATTCATTTCTCATCTGTAAAATTAGGGTCTTGAAGTACACATTGTAGCATTGTATGAATATATGAAATGACATTTGGCCTAAAAGTCCATACCATATCCTTAAGCGTTGCCAAATACTTGGGAGAGTAGGAGGAGTTGTGAAATATAAAGTGAAATTGTGCGTGAGACTTAAGCAAAATAGAGACCCCTGAGATGTGTGTGTGGAGAAAGAGATTGAATGAAGCCTGTTGAGCACTACTAGTGGTGCTAGAATTTAGTAACAGTGATTTGTTTTTAAGAGTGAAACCAGGGAACTGAGGGAGAGGAGGAGAGCTCGGAGAAAAGAGAGAACAGTTACAAATTACAAATTTGCTTGGTTTGTTTTAAATGCAAAATGAAGAGAAAAAGGCAGAAATCAGCAAGTTTTAGGAAAACCCTGATATCCAAGGCCTCTCCAGCCTGTGGGAATTAGCAGGACATATTAGCCTTATGGCCCAGTTGGCCTGGTTTCCACCCTCATACGTTGAAGAATGATCCCAGTTATCTGCAAATCCCCATTTCCAGAGCATTTCTGGGAGTCCCCAGAATTTTCACATTTATTCTCCAACAGGCCTCGGCTGAGCTGTTGCTGAGTGCATGGGACAGCCACTTTCCAGATACATTGTAGTCTTCTCCCGCCTTGCTGCAGCTTCTCTGGGAGAAGGCTGCCTTACCACAGGTGCTGTCTCCCAGGGCTCCCCAAGCACCAGAGCCCTGGAGGTATTCAAACAGCCTAGTGTGTTCTTCAGTCTTCCTTACAGAGGAGGAGCCTGGGTATAGTCCATGCACAAATGAGGAGCACAGCCCTCTCTCCATGGGGATTAGACCTGGTCACCTAGGTGAGGCGGGCAACTGGACTCTGATCTTTCAGCTCGAGCATCAGATACCTGAACTCAAAATTTCGGTGGCATATTTTCCTTGATGCAAATCACCACTGCAAATAGATGCCTAGGGACTCTGCACCCCACCCCCAGTTGTCCAAACTCAGGGTAGGTTTAGCCAGCATGTGCTCTGTGGGAAAAGGGGACAATTGTGATGGATTATTAGAGGGTTGTGGCACATGCAAACATGTTCTGGGAAAGAGAGCTTTCAGAAATGTTGTTTGGGCCTGGCATGAATCAATGACAGATGTTTATCTAAGATACATTTATAGATTCTTGAAAGATCATTCTTGAGTCCGTGTGTTTCATGATGAATAATCGACCTTCTCTAAAGCCTTAGAATCTAGAATTAGAAGACATCCTAGAGCCCTAGAGATCTAATAATGATCTGTGCTCTTCTGAGGAAGGAAGAGACTAAATATAGAAAGTACTTGAGATGTGTGTGTAATGTGTATGTGTGTGTGTAGCTTAAGTTATATTTCATAGGCAAAGTCTTTGTATGCAAATCCAGCATTAATTGTGCATGAAGAAAGCATGTGTTCACTGACATGTAGATAAATCTTACTCCATTTCATTTTATATTACCCTACATGAAAAAAATATGTAAAGCCTAAATTTTATGGAATAGCAAAGTTTTCATCACCAAGTTGTAGTGTAATACTTCTTTTTAAGCAAATGAATGAAAAAAATGAACATTTAAAAAAGATTTTCCAGAATGAAAATACCATAAGGGCTTTAAATAATACCACAGCAGGCATGTGACCTCTATGTTGCAATATAGTATTTCTATTCCAGTCACCTTCTAGGGTCTCAGATCACAGGCCCAGCTGGAGAAATTTGTTCATAGCATAAATTTGCTAAAACCCCCTCAAACATACCCTCAGTATAACTTGGTAATCCTCTGTTTCTCTGATCAGTTTATTCTCCATTTCCATGACTTTTCCCACATTGAAAAAACATGTACGTAAGTGGAGCCACGCAGTTCAAACTCATGTTGTTTAAGTGTCAACTATATTTTTATACTACTAAATCTCCTCTCTCTTATCAGCGAATAAGGCAATTTCTTCCACATTTATTACAAGCTTTCTGTAGAGAAACATTTCTGTTTGTTTTGGCATTACAAACGTCTGATTCTATCCAAGACCATAAGAATAGTGAGAATAATGGTTAGGGCAACTGTGCGGACCTGGGAGTCATGCTGCCCGGATTCAAATCCATGCTTTACCATTTGCTAGCTACATATCTTAGGACAAGATTTTTAACCTGTCTGCCAAAGTTTTTTCATCTGAATAGGATCCTAATAGTAGTATCTGCCTCACAGGTGGTTGTTGTGAGCATTGAAACAGTGCTTGGAATGTGAGTGGTACAAAGAATGGGCTAAATATATGCTGTTATTATTACTATTATTAAAGCAAATTGAAAAATAGAATATATTTGATAGAAATTTAAAAAATGAACTTTGCTGGAAATGCTTCTGTTCCCTAAAGTAAGTTACTTTTATATTTGCTTATTTTACATGTATAGATATGCAATATACCATCCTCCCCACATTTTGGGGGCACCTTTTATTTTCCAGACCCTCAGACCGTGAAATCTATGTCTTCACTTTTGCTAAGCTGTTGAGTTTCATGGTGAAGGACACAGCA